ACCTGGGGGAACCTGTCCCCCAGCCAAAAAAAAAAAAAAAAAAAATCATACAAGGAAAGTAGCCTAACCTTTGTTCTTGGAAACATTTAATATGAAAATAGGAAAAAATGTTAAAATCTCTTACGTAGGGTAGGATATATTTCATGGAAATGTTCATGTAATCCAAGGATTAAGAAAATGAAAAGACCTGGAATTCTCAAGATATTCAGCAGGTGATAAGCAGGGATCCAGGTTTTCCCTGATTTAAAAAATTGCAGATTCTCTCCTAAAACCCCCCAAATCCATGATTAAACTTAAAGGTTCCCCACAGTCCCCAACTGGCCCTGGTCAAGCCTCTCACTTGCCCCCCCCCGCCTCCCTAACCTTCCTGGTGCCTCTCACCCCCCCACCCAGATATGTGCATGGGCTGCAGACTTGGGCTCCTGTCTGCCCTGCTGCCCCTCACCGAAGCCTCCACAGCCAGGCTGGTGCAACCCAGCACAGCAGGGAGCAGTGGAGCCACATGGAGAAGCTGCAAGCTCCCTGCTGCCCTGGCAATGTGCCCTCTGCTCATGCCACTGCTCTTGCTGCAGCCCTGCATGCAGGAGGCGCGTCAACAAGTCAATGTGGAGCTTGCAGTGGCAAGCATGTTCTCCATGCGGTTCCAAAAAAGGTGCAGTTCTCTTTCCAAAATGGCTGTGGTTTAAACAAAGTACAAGAAATGAGGGTGACAAACAAGGGAAAACTAGGAAAGGAAGGAAAAGGGCTACAATAATATACAGCTGTTCTGGAAGGCACGTGCGTGTCTTGGCAGTTCTGTTACTTTGGCTCATTGGAGGAATGAGAATTGGAGGAGACAGGAAAGCTGAGAAAATCCAATGAAAGTTGGGGTTGAATGATGTAGGGATATGACAGAGAGCTTGAAATTGATAGTCTGCGTGAGCAATGCATATATGGAACCTTTTGTAAAATGTGATGAAGGTCTCAAGTGTTTTGTGATCAATTCAGAGTGAAAGACTGAATCTGTTCCAGAGATTATATCACAAATGAAATAGGGGGCCTCTTAAGCTAATTAGTAAAGCAGAATCTTGTTTGAGGCAGTCTTGCCCTTGATTCTCTCACCAGTTGCTGTGTAAAAATGTATGTGAAGTTAGTGAATATTATGGCCAGGAATGCTAGTATATTAGTGAGGAAGGATCGTATTAAAGGTCTGCTCAAATGACCTACCAAGATACAGGCATGCCAGTTTCTGTAGTTAGCAGCACACAAGGGAGTAATATGACTAGCACTGCACCTGACTGTCTTTAATTTCCACAGTGAATCACTAGGTTTAGTTGGATCAAGCAGGGGAAGACTTTGACCCAAATATAGAGAAGCGTTTGAAATTGTCCATCTGGAGCACAAGGGCACCCCTTGAATTTGATTGTGTTGGAGTCTTTGGTGTCTGCTCAAGACCATCTTGCCATAACTGCCTTCACCTGTAGTGCCAGAATTTTAAATTCTTTTAAAATTCGGATCGCTGTCTGAAGCAGGTAAGAGTGAAGTGTCAGTAAAATTATAAGCTTCCCAGACATCTGTATCGGCGTTGGTCCTTTTCTAAGGAACATCTTATAATAGTTATTCTCAACCAAGCTCCTCAGCACCCTGGGGTGCCTTGAAATCCTTTCAAGGGTGCTGCAGAGTGCCATGCAATTAGCACTGTTAGATGTGCAAATATAACTCTCAAAATAAATCCAGAGATTTCAAATAGGAGTCTGTAGTGTTAAAAACATTCTGCCCTGTTGTAGTTTTTCTGAGTTCTTTGCAACAGAACTACTCTGTTACTTGTTTCTGTAGTCAAAATCTAGTGAAAACTAAGTTGGCATTTTCCAAGGGCTGTCTTGGATGTAAAAAGGTTGAGAGCCACTGTCTTGCAGAATCTGTATAAAAAGTATAATTAGCCCAGCACAATAGTTTGAGAAATCTATAGGTGCACTTAAGACTGTAGGCTTTCTAGATTACTATTAGGAATTTTTATTTTATGGATATTCAAGATCAAATTTCCCACCTTGGCTGAACAACTATTTTGTGATCTGAAAGTATGTACAAGCCACAGATGCAAACGTGGGGAAGTGAAGTAAAGACTCTGATTAGTTATATTAACCAAGGATACTGTCTTCATGGTAAGAAGCATAGGGTTGGAAGCTGCTTTTTTTTTTTTTCCCCTCTGGTATACCTGTCAGTGGAGAAGGAGGAACCTCTCTTTCAGCCAACACAGCTATACCAGCAAAAATCCTAATGTAGAAGCAGGAGAGCAAAAGGTCACTTGTATTCTGTGGGGGAAATTGGTTGAGCTGTAGGTCTAAAATAACTAATTTGTCTATATAAGCAGCTTCTGCTAGAGCACTTGCCAATGTAACTTTTCAGTACTAGCAAATACCTACATGTAGGCAGGCCCATGGACTAAACATGTTACATGTTTAGTGTTTATTGAAATGTCTCTCCAGTAACAAAAATGTAATCCTACCTATTACAAGTTTGCTTGCTGGTGTTTCAGGAACATGAGTGAAGTTTCATAGGCGTTGGGGCTGGAAGGGACCTTGCAAGATGATTGGGTCCAGCCCCCTGCCCAAAGGGCAGGAAGTCAGCAGAGGTCAGATCACCCCAGCAAGATAAGTATCCAGGGGTTTCTTAAAAGTATCCAGGGTAGGTGCGTGCACCATTTTTTGCGGGGGTCTATTCCAGAATCTGGAGACTTGGATGGTAAAGAAGCTTTTGCTTATGTCCACTCTAAAACAGTCTTCCTCTAGTTTGTGACTGTTGGACCTTGTCTTCCCTTGGGGTGCCCTGGTGTACAGAGATTCTCCCAGCTCCTGATGCACACCCCTTATATACTGACTTCACTATCAAAATATTTATCAAATGTTAGCAATTTCAGACAAACTTTCTTTCTCTTCAGAAAATGGCATGAGGGTACTTGATTCTTAATTGTATTTATATAAAAGCCTTGGTCTGTCTGTAATGCTTTATTCGCACTCTGATTGGTTGTCTTGGCATGACAGCGGGGACAGAGGCCAGGCCAGTACAGCTGCCGCCTCCCCCTTGCTCTGTGGAGGAGGCGGCGGAGGTGGCGCTGGGGTGGGGAACAGGGTTGGGGCTGTCATGGTGGGGGGAGATGGGGAGGAGTGGCCCTGGGCCCAAACCCAAGCTGCTGGTGGGGGGAAGAGGTCAGGCCCAAACTGGGGGATAGGCTGGATGAGGGGAGCGGGGGTGCACGGCGAGACACTGGGCTCTGTCCCTGCCACCTCTCTGAGTGGGGGGAGTGGCTCTGGCCCAAAGCGGTGGGGGCAAGTGTAGGGGAAGTGAGCTTGGCCCCAGGCCTCTGTTCCTGCTCAGCCCATCCCCCCGGCAGGTGGTGGCAGTGACGGAGCGGACAGCGGGGGGGCCAGTCTGTCTCCCCTGCTCCCTGCAGGCCACGAAAATAAAGTGGATGGGGAGGGTAAGAGGGGGGCAAGGCCAGTGCTGCTGGCCATGCCCCCCCTGGCCCTGCAGGCAGCAGTGATGGGGGGTGGTTCAGCCCGGCCCTGAAGGGGGCGGGGGGAGACCAGGAGTGGGCCTGGCCCTGAAGGTGGGGGGAGGCAGGGCTGGACATAGGTGTCTGTCCCTGGCCACCCCTCCCCCCACCCCTCATTTTTGATGGGCAATTGGCTAGCTTTTTTTTTTTTTTTTTTTAATATAGATCAAAGTAGGTCTAGATGCAGTTACTAGAAGTTTCCTTCAATGTCTGGTTCTGGAACTAGAAGCAGAGAATCACCAAATCTATATGAAGATCTTGATTTAATTGGGTATTTCATGAGTAGTTATAAACAGCTTAACTGCCTTGGTTTCACTTTTTCCACAAAAACAAACAAACAAACAAACAAAAAACCTGTACCTAATGTGGCTCTGAAATTTTGGAACCAAGCCCATTATTGAATACTGCATGTAGATATTCAGTGGTTTCGGGCTAGATTTTACTGTGTCTGCTGTGGGATTTTGGGGATTTGAGCCATAACCATTTTGGAAAACTATGGTTTCTTACTTTTTGATTGCTGACTAGATTAATTAACCCATTTTTCCAATTATTTAAAAATGGTAATACTGGTAATCTGGTACAGCTTTAGTTTTCAGATTTCAATCTGTTTTAAGCATGGTGATGTCTCTTTGTTTATACTTCTAAACTATCTTTTATGTTTGCTTTTTTCTGTAGGGGCTACTTGATGGGTTAGAGCCTTGTGATTTATATAGAAGCACAAGCTGGATTTGCTCCTCTTCCTGATGAGTTAAAAACAATCAAGCAACAAATTCCACAGTCCCCTCCTCAACCAGGAAAAAGTTCCACCTAAGAGAGCCATCTCCAAAAAGAATGCTTTCAAGTGTCTCCTTTTACAAATCTTCACCTCCTATTGCTAGTTTAGTTTGTTTTTTTAAACAGCATTTTATTATCTGCCTTTTATAAATGGAAACGTTTCCTCTAGCTCTAGGTATGAATTTTTGTTTCTTGCAACACTTCAATATAAACAGAAAACTGGCATTTTCCCCCCTTGCCTGTAATAACCCTTAAACGTGACTGCAGTATTTAGCTACAGTTTTACAATTTGTTGTAAGATTTGCAGCACTATGGTCTGTCCTTTCTTGGTGGGAGGATTCTGTGTAAATCAGGGAAACTAGAATCTGCCCCATTTCAAGTTTTTACTAGAACGATATCTTTTGATACTTCGCTATCAGAACAGTGTGCCTAGTGGAAACTGTTTCTGAGGCACCTATTGCCTTGATATTCATGGCACTACCCTAATTCCAGATGTTCACTGGAAAGGAGGCAACATTGTGTAACTGCATCTTTGGAAAAATGTATGAAAAGAGCCAGATTAAACATTTTTTTTTTTCTACCAAACTACTTGCTTCCTGCAGTGTTTTAAAGATTTTCTTAGATTTTACACAGGATTTAGTCCAGGTCTTAACTCCCCCAGTCTAGAAATTAAGTAATGAATTGCTGTATAATCTTTGTTCCCTGTTTGTTTCTATTAGTGTGGGGACCAAATTTGTAGTCTCACAAGAAGGTGCAGTTCTTTACAAATGCTGTATCTAAAAACTAAGTTTTTTACCAATAATGAATTGAACTCTTACATCTACTTTGCAGCTTCCTTGCAGGTCATGTGCATGCCATGCAAGCTCCCCGGCACATACCTCATGGGCACCTGACGTGTCATGTGAGCCCCTACTGGGTGAACTTGCTGCACCATGGACTCATCCTATGTGGATGACCCTACCCCAACTCACCCCACTGCTACATGCCACTGTCACTGTCCCACTGCACTGCCCCAGTGGGGTCCTGGATCCCTCAGCCCCACAGGCAGCATCACTGCCCTGCCCCCATGGGTGGAGATGGGCAGTAGGTGATAGAGGAAGGAGGGGCAGCCCAGGAATTCTGGTGGCGGCAGCAGCAACAAAAAGTAAAGTGGGGAGCAGTGCCTGGACCAGGAACTTGGGGGCCTCGCTTCAACCGCAGGGAGTCCACATGTGGACAGCCGTAGTGTAAATAATTTGTCCATAGTAATGTGATTTTAGTTTTTAAACCTTCTCCCCCCACCTCCCACATACACCCAATTATATCTTCTTCTTAAATTCAGAATTACTGGGTTCCTGTATGTTTTTTCACAGGCTAGATATTCTAGTTGTTCCTATCTTGATGTGAAATACTTTCTCAGAGGTTCTATCTTTGGGTATAGACACTGGTACATCTGGAGCCATTTCAAAAGGAGGAATAGCTCTTATGTTCTAGTTGTTATAACTTTTGAAATGATTACAAATATACATATGCCCACAATCTTATATGGATTTAACAAAATCTGTGTTAAATGGATTAAAAACTGACCTATGGACATCTGAAAATGTAATTGTAATGGTTAATTTGGGAGACCTAAAAACTAGAGCCATTGTTATCAACTGCTATTGTTCTAGCAATTGGTTCTTGAATCAGTGCTTTGCTTCTCTCTCTCTTTTCCGTTTCTCCCGTTTCTTGTTTGTTAAGGAGTTGAATGACAATGTTTTGTTAAGCCTGCACAGCATACAAGGATTATAGTGGTAAATGCAATTTTGATAGCTAAATATAAGAACTAAATGTAGGTTATACCTCTTGGACAGAAATGATCTTGGAAAGCTGTGTTTTGTAAAAGGACTTGAGGCCTACATATGTTAACACCACTGTAAATAATAGTTATGATGGTGTTCCTCAGAACAGTTGGGATGACCAGGTTATGTTATTGTGAGGATTACTACAGCATCTTGCCTTTAGGTTGCAGAGAAGTTACCAATAGCTTATTTGCACTGGGCAAACTGCTACTGTGGGATAGATGAGAAGAAGCAAGACTAGTTAAGACAGATGTAGATGAGCTTTCAGGAAAACCTTTTGTTTGTTCCTTTGCCCATTTTGCCTAAAACAATGCAGTGACTAACTTTGGGACAAAAGCAAAAATGCAGATTTAATTTAGCCCCTCACTTCTTTCCGGGGATAATTCTAGACTGGATTAATGTCCATTACAGCTCTGTATGGCTGTGCTTCTTGCAAGGGGTGCATTACAGCGGTGTAAATGTATTGTTTCATTAAAATCATGAGCTGTTCCCTGAAACAGTCAGCAGATGGCCCCAGCTGTATGATTTTTGGGGATAGATAAGTGAATATGCAAATGACTTTAAAACTTTCATTTTTCACAGTGGTGAAAAAAACAAACAAACTTCACTGCAATTTCACAGCAGTCAGAAAAACAAATGCCACCTTTAGGATGCTGTAGTGTGGGTCAATTCGCGTGGTAGGATGAGTGTTTCATTTTTCCAAAAAAGGATAGAAAAACTGTGCTAAATCTGTGCTTTGCCCATGAGAAAATATCTTTCTAAACTGAAAAGAAAAATTGGGTGTATTAACTTACCAACTCTGGTACTTCCAACATGGTCCCCTGTCATGTAAAAACCATGTCAGTATCAAACTAGAAACTCTAATGTTGTGTTGTCTCCTAGCGTGGTGTTCTGGAAACAGTTGAATCTAGGACTCCTTCCTGGTCATGTGTTGACCATAGGAGTCAATTCAACACTGTGCAAGGAGAGAGGTGTTTGACTGCAGTAAAACACTACCTTGATAAAGTAGTATAAAGACTAGGCATTACCCTGATTCCATTCTTCTTAATGCTGTGCAGGCCGGGAGCGACCCAAGCCCTTTTCCGTGCTGCACACGGGCTGTGGCCAGCAGCCCGGGCATGCTGGATCGGAGAGGGAGGGCGACGAGCTGGAATTAGGTACAAACGCTTAGCGGTAGTTTTAAAGATTGTTTACTTGCACCGAGATGGCAGTGGTGTAGGCTGGAGAACTTGCTTGGGTTGCGGTTACAGACACAGACAGCACGGACAGTCGCGTGGAGTTTGCTAGGCTCCACGGAAACAGAGCTCCGGATGCTCTGGGTGAACGCGCCACCAAAATCGAAATCGGAGATACATCTTATAAAATTTGGGATCGAAGACGGGAAGAGGTGGGCGATGGATCAGGTCGCCAAGCTCCTCTGAATCTCGCACAGGGTCTCTATTACCCTGCCGTGTATCCAGAGTCCCCACGAGATGGATGTGGAGTCCTCTTTGGCTTGGGCGGAAACTGCTCAAGCCTCTTATACAGCTAACAGGCCAATCGTTAGCCGCCACGTGGGAAT